ATTAATAATTTCTTCTTTAGAAGCCATGTCTAATTTAAATATGGGTTCTTTTCTGTATTACATTAATTATTTGTAGTTATTTTAATTAGGTGTCATTTATTATTGATAAATAAAAATTATTCAATCACTAAACACTAAAATAAGCGTGTCTTCTAAAGTGATTTCGACACAAGTGAACTTAGCGACAATATTTACGTCCCGATTGTAGGTATTTTGTAATCCTCCCGAACTAGCGCGGCGTTGCCGTTTTTCACCAATATAAATTCCATCTGTGTTAAAATTTCTTGACTCATTTTACCTCAATTTGTTTGTAAATAAAAATGGGTTTCCTAATTAATAACATTTTTCTTGTACTTTTACGTTAATATGCATATTGTTACCATTACGTTTAAAACACTTAAATGAGTACTGTTTGTCAATTTCAAAGCTCATGTTATTAACAAAGTTCCTTACAAACCTTTTAAAAGGCATTTTCATAAAGCCGTAATATACCACATCCAACTAAACTTACCCGTGTTCAATCGAGCACGAATTGTGTTCTTTACAAGGGAATAAAAGTTGCTCGCAATCAGCTGATTAAACGAGCATTTCCGATCAAAAATAGACTGTAATTCACGTTAATAGAGTCTATATTTCAACTCACAAAGCCTTTTAACGCGAATGTTCTTGGAAAATTAGATAAAAGCAGTAATTCTGTTGAAATTAGAAGTTTCCAGTCTAATTTGTTAGGTAATGTGGGAGTTAAATGCTTTGGTGATTTATTTGACGGTGGAGATATATGATGTAGTAGATAATTTATCACTTAAGTGTGTGTAATATGATAATACAACATCAAAGTACGGTTAACTATTATTGATTGTTTCTCAATCTTTCTCCAAAAACTAAATTAACTTTTTTACACAATTTCTGTACCCTTTGCATAATTGCTATGTATGCTATTTCAAATAGCATACATTAGAATTAATTTCTGTCATAATACAACATTACAAAAACACTAAACAATTATATTATTGACGTCAAATTGCTTAATTACAAATTATTATTTTTGTACAGTTTGTGTAACACCATATCACTAAGTCTCAATGATATCACGTTGAATAAGGAGGAACATATGGCCAATTAATTGGTTGCCTATAAATACTGAAGTAGTTTTTTTATGTAACAGGCAAACGGATTGGAGGCTCACCTTAAGTGATACCGCCGTCCATAGACACTCACATTGCCAGAAGGCTCGCAAGTGCACTTAAATCTCTGTGTCTATACCACCTTAATTGTATCGTAGCATATATATGGAAGTCGGATTAATAATTGTTGACTTTGAATTTTACATAAAAAAAACGATTGCGATTAATATTTTATAGATATAAATACTTTTTATTCTTGTTAGCAAATTAATATTAGTATAAAGTCTTTAAAACCACATAACATACTATTTAATACGTATTCCTAGTCTTCGGCTACTATAAAAATCTGTGAGATATGCTACGGTGCTCATGAAGCTCTACGGCGTAGAAAAGTAAAAGTTAATATCTTATTCCCTTTCATCATAACCCTTACGTTTTTAGTTTTGTTGGAGGCAAGAACTGCATAGTTTATGAAGGCTTTTACTTCCGGGATAGCATTAATTAATTCTTAATTACATTTTAATTAGAATTTCTCCTTGCGCTTTTACAACGAGTAATAAGTGTTACCTTTTAAACATGGCATTTTCTTGTAGATTTTTAACAAATAAAATTACGTACTATGAATATCTCATGTAGTCATTAATATAACATTAAGTATGCAAACAGAAATCCTATTTTATTTTTTAACTCTTCTAAGTTTAAGCAAACCTCTGGGTTTGAACTTTGAACGTTTAATATTGATATCAAATATCACCAAGTATTTTTTAAACTTTTTATTTCTAGAATTAATTAAATAAGGACTTCGTTTAATATTACACATGATTTTTAAATCATGTAGAAGACTTTTTACCTATATAATAGATGCATCAATAATACCTATTTAAAAATATACCGTCAAAACTCTGATGACAAAAACAAAAGACTAACGAGAAAATGCCATCGTTATGTTTCGCAAGATAAAAAATAATATCAAGGGGATACTGTATCTCAAAGTACATAAAACTACTGCTCTTCGGTAAAATGATCTTTTTCCACAAAAAGGAAAAAGTATTAAAACTTTAGTTCACAGTTCACACTAACTCTGTCTTGGTACATTCACGATAAATTTTCTTGTACACTTTTATTCCCACTTGTATCCCAAGTATTATCTTAGGATAAATGACTACGAAATAACGTAACAATTTCTTGAAACAAGCAGTTTCTAGTACAACACCGGTCGATATTTGTAATAAATATTTTGATTATAGTACTGTTTTAATAATAATAATAATGGTGATAATATTGTTCAACAAAATTGTAGTATGTACAAAAAATTCGGGAACCTTCACATAATTTAAAAGCTATTCACCTAGGTCCACACTGTCAATATTTTCGTGTATTGTAGTAATATCAATAGAGAAATTGATGCCATTGTATTTAAAACAACAAGAATAACCTGAATCCGAGAATTGACAGAAAATTGCCTATCTATTTCAAAATATATCTATGCTCAAATACTTCATAATAAATACTACAAGAGTTGATTCACCTTTTATAATTTTTCTAATTGTTAAATAATAATTAAATATGTACTGTGTAATAGAAACCGGGATAATAAATGATACTATAATTCGTAGAAATAATGTATTTCTATTATTATGTATTTCTTCGCTATTAAACATTTTCAATATATTTGAAGATATCATAGATTAAAAATAACTCTGTGTTAGTAAATGAAAATGCACATTATGTTTTTCGTGTTGCTTAAACTGTTTTGCGTCAGGAACTTGTTTGATGAGTGTGTTGGCTTGATAAAAATACGTTTAAAGAAAAAACTTTTTAATCGGATTAAAGTTATGTATTATTTTAAATTTACAATTATTTAACATAATTTTAAATTTATCCGACGTTTCGCGTGCTTTACAGCGTGCGTGGTCACGGTGACTGAAGAGAAAAGGTGTTGGATGTCAAAAAGTATCACAGCTGTAGAGAAAGTTGCATTATCTGTATTTATTTCCCCGAAGTTGGTATCGACTAAATGATGGAGGGTTTTGGCAAAAATGGCTTACGGTGTCCTCTATTTTCGCGGATTGTTTTTCGCGTAAATGTGTAAAGGCTATGTCAATAAAAGACAATACTATGAAAAATACGTTTCTACAATTGCTTTTGTTTTTCATCCGTCACATAATAATTGTCAAGTGAAACACAACAACACAACAAACGCAAGACGTTCACGTGTTTTTATATATATGGGTAAGATCACAGTCGATAAAAATTATGCATAACATTTTCAGGTAGATTTTAATGTGCCTTGTTGATACATCATTACGTGTATAATGAATGCACAGTAAAGGGATACCGTACCAAAATCAACATTACCGTTTTCAACTGACAAAGCGAAACGCTAATGAAGTTTCATATATCCGCCAAATGAGATCATTACTCGATAGTTCACATAAATCGTAACCGCTGTTAATTCGTTTTGTTTGCTGCATGTTTAAGGTATAAACTAATAATTTGAATGTTGTGATATATTTAAAAAGCTATCATTTCTATGCGAGAATTAAATTATGTTAATATTAAAAGCCAGAATAAATATATATCGACCGTACAGTTTGATTGTGACCAATCAACAAGAAACTGGTCACAAATGAATCACCGTCTTTTATTTTATATTCTCACTGATACATAAATGTGTGACAAGTTAACTCCGAAATATAAAGCACAGTTTCCGTACGACTATACTAAATTTGATATTATTTTGTATTATTGTCAGGATAAGTAAATTTAAAAGAAAATCATAACAAAGAGTTTGTTTTTTTTAGAAATTTTAAAGAAGTACTTAGAACACTGGAGTCACACTTCAACGCTATTACCTGCACTGTTATATAATTTTTAATAATTTTCTATAGAAATCACCGGTCTTTATGATAATTCAATATTGAAGAAGAAGATAACGAATCCTTGTTATTTTGATTTGAATCGTGTATCTAAACTAATAAACTTATGAAACGGGCTCTGATCAATAACCCCAAATACACTTACATCGTCGTTACATTGTTCTTTATTCCATTCTTTAATAATAAAAAAGAATAATTGTTATCATAGTAATCATAGGACTAAACATTTCATACGCACATACTCAATCCGCCGTCTCTGCGACCCAAAATGTGTCTTGACTACCTACTAAGACTGCAAATAATATAATTCACTGTAATTAGTTTTTGACGGCTTTTGCAATGAACATTTATTGCCAGCAATAATATTATTTAAAAAACAAACCCTTTAAATAGTATAAAGAAAAATAGGTTAATACATTTTTAAATAATTTAAATTAATAGTGAGTCTGTTAGTTAATTAAGGCTCAGGCATAGGAAAACCCTATTGGATGGGTAACTATATTCAACTTTAAACTTCAACGTACAACTTAACTATACTTAAGTGGAAATTAATTTCCCAACCGTTCCATGTTTGTCTTGTTCTAGGAAGTGCGTTGTGCATCAAATGTTCGCTAAAAGGAAAATTATGTAGTGCCTCTGCGCTGTTCAATTTGACGTCACTTTGAGATAGGAACATACGAGGCAATCACGCTGAAGTAATAAAATTAGGCGTTGGGGCATTGGGCGAATATTTTTGTGTTTATTCAATTAAACACTTAACTAGTTGTCAAACATATGTACATCTAATAAATATTGAAAATTGTAATCTAAGATAACTAACAGTGTATTAGCGCAAAAGTTAAAGTCAAAACTAAGTATTAATAATATACGTATTATAGTTTTAATTACTATTTAATTAATAGGTATATTTATCAATTAATATCAATATGTTAAGGCACAATCGGCACCGGAATCAGAACCAAATGAGAACTGCTCATCAAATTGCGTAATTGCCGCGATGACCACTTCCACATCGCTACGAGCGAGTGGATCGGTTACCATGGGTGGCGACCAGTTAGGCGCTGCTATTCACTGCCCTGTTTTGACCACGGCCATGCCATGCAGTACGCTTCACCACCCTTGTAGCACATCACAGGGACCCCGGTTGTGTAAGCCAGACAACGATATGAAACTGAAACATTCAAAAGATTTAAGGCCAAGTTTTCAGGTAAAATTTGGTGGAAGCAAAACTTTATCTAGGGCGATCATTTTCTTATGAAGTAAAGAAGCGAAGTGCTTGATACGCTCTTTGTTATCTCTTTGTAACTCAGCTTCCGTTAAAAGTGCCCTTAATTCACGTGCATTTTACAACAAGTAGTTATTAATTTCGGGAAAACATATCGTTATAAAATCTATTATATATATATATATATATACTATCGTATTTTGTTAAAACAACTGCTGCTGCACTTCCAACATACCGAAATGAGGAAGGAAATTTTATTTTAATTTAATCCATTTCAAATGATGAAAAGCTGTGTGAGAGAACGATGTTGCAGCTACGGACTTAGTGTGAAAATTATTTTTCTTTCATGTATATCATCATCAAAACTTTCGTAGTATGATGCTCCTTCCCTCGAAATTGGGTGGTCACTGGTCAGTGCGTTCACGAGTGGTTTTATGCTAGTTTCGAATAACGCCCGCAATTTTTCGCTTGTCGCAGTCCGTTCACTCACCTTTTGTGGATGCATTTCCATTTCTAATATCGGAGAAGTATTGTCTCCATCGACATCGCCATTCAAGGCATGTCAAGGCATTGCGACTTGCTTGCTCTCTTTAGTCATAATAATATTCGTTCTTTCAATTTTATTCGCTTGACAGTTGACGTGTTAGCGATCGACGGAGTCATGAGACAAGAGCGCCCGCGCACCATTTAATTTTTTATGAGTTATCCTACAACTACGTTTTACTTTTTACAGTACAGTGAAGTAAAATTTAAATTTTAATCCATAAAAGATACAGTTTCCCGAAACACGAGAAAAAGTACAAATTAGTTAGGTCCAAAAATAGAATTATGATAAATTGTTGATAAATAAATCTAATTTGGCATACTTATCTAATCTTTAATTATTTTTACGGCAAATTATGAAACTGTGTAAACGAGGTGTTTGTTCCAAGGAATACAATTATCTCACTTTCCAACCATTTCACATATGCATTAAGGGAATGTCTCAGAATGTTTAAGCGTACGCTATACACAGATTCCGGAAATGCATTAGAGACGTCACATCCGTTAAATTATATTTAAATTCCTCTCAGCATACATTACTTAGCGCTTGAATATTTTCAACAAACGTAGATGAACTAAGTTGTTTTATAAGAAGTTTTCAAAGTATGTTCGAAATTCGAAAATTTTGATGAGTAGGTACTCCTTAAAAAGTAAGTAAATAAAAAGTTCCTTAACAAAAAAATACGAAAGACTCTTGACATTGAGGACCTAAAAGCTAGCCTTTAACGAACTCATTATTAGGAGCATATGACTACAAATAACCAATTCATAAACACTATCATATGAATTTTTCTTTTTAGTTTTGTGTGTAACTTGGAAGTCACAAAGTCCAGAAATACATTTTTTTTTGAAAGGGGGCAAGCGGGCAGGAGGCTCATCTGATGTTAAGTGATACCGCCGCCCATGGACACTCAATGCCAGAGGGCTCGCGAGTGCGTTGCCGGCCTTTTAAGAATTTGTACGCTCTTTTCTTGAAGGACCCTAAGTCGAATTGGTTCAGAAATACTATACACTACTTCAGTAGTCTGAGATATGTTCTTACCCGATTTGTGGGTTATAGACCTATTTTGTATGTAATATAAATTGCGAAAGCGTAGTAGTATAGTATGGTTGTAGTCATTGTGTATAAAGTATTAGTTACTGCGAGCGTTCAATAGCCAATATACTCTATAGACGAGCACTTTGTTCTTATTACTTCCAATAAACTACGATATTTTTAAAAAGAATATAAGAATACCTAGAAAAATTCAAGCTTAATTTAGCTTTATTTTTATAAAGTATAGAAATTATTACACATTTTTATGGTTTCTATTCTATATAAAAATGTTAATGTAATATTTCTTGTGATGATTATCTTACAATGGAGGTGTTTGTCTAGTGGGTTCAGCGTGCGACTCTCATACCTACCATATGAAGTCGTAGGTTCGAACCCCGGCTGTGCACCAATGGAATTTCTTTCGCGTGCGCATTTAACATTTGCTCGAACGGTGAAGGAAAACATCGTGAGAAAACAAAAATCATCTTAGACCCAAAACATCGACGGCGTGTGTCAGGCACTGGAGGCTGATCACCTACTTGCCTAGTAGATTTAAAATCATGAAACAGATTCAGAAATCTGAGGCCAAGACCTAAAGAGGTCGTAGTGCCACTGATTTATTTTATAATTATCTTACAAAATGATCGGGAAGCTCCAGTATGAAGGTAACGGGCTTTCTTATGTTTAACGTAAGAAATATTCCTATATAGTAACGATAAATAATAAAAGGGTTTGAAAACGAAAATAAACTACTATTAAAACATAAAAACATCTTTTTATACTTGGTTGGAATTCAAAAACCTTTTTCAAGAGTCCTGAAATAATTTACTATTTTATACAGCAAACTTGAATAGAAATTGTCTACATAACATTTAAGCATCTTGAATCCTCAAACGTGCCACTACACATTTTGACGCTATTTTAAAATAAGCACATAAAATCCCTCGCCTCACAGTTAATGTACACATTTGCGGCGACAAATGCACATACTGAGTTTAATCCGTTGCTTTATTGGGCGTTGACGTATGTATATTAACATCCGCTTTTGTGTTATTACTTTCGAAATGGTTTAATTAATTGGGAAAGGCTTTTACACACGAAGTATTTGAAAATATTTGAGATCAGTTTTATGTTAATTTCGAAGAGTAAATTGAGATTGCCCATACATGTACAACTAGCGTGATAATATTTCTGACTAATGTGTACTAGGGCTACAAGGAGCCGGAGAGATGGAAAATTATATCATACTTCGATGAGTTAGAAAAACAACTCGAAATGAACATTATTTGTGTTTATATTACCTGTTTATAACTGTGTAATATTTAATAAGGAGAAAATACCTTTAAAAGAGTTTTGGAAGGGTTTGAATGTTTTAAACAAGTTGTTTTAAATGTACCGTAACATACCTCTTCGTTAGCTTATAAATCTACAAATGTGTGATTGTTTGATTTTAACCCTTCAAGTTTATCTGACAATATGTCACCTTGTCCAATGGACCATGATATAATATATAATGTGTCTACCATGAAATGGTGAGAAATATCAGAGGTATAATAAATTTAAACGCATGTTTCGGAATTCAAAATATTAAAAACCTAAAACAGACTTTTTTTATCAATATTTTTTAAATCCATTTTCAATTCTCTATTCTAGATTCAAAACGAGATCACTGCAACAAGACTGTGGAAATCTATGAAGATGTGTCGTCACCTCCGGTCACGCCGGAAAACTTCGGACGTCCACTCACGTGTACATATAGGTAAATACATTTCTGTTTGGCATAAGAGCTTAGACTGAGAACTTCTGAAGCATTTCCAATCTAGTTATGTTTTACTATTGTAGCTGTAACTTTTCAGTAATATATTTTACGTAATCTCACTGATTGATCAACTTGACTAGACTAGACTAGACCGTTTAATCTAGCTCAAATCTAGTTTCAAGGCTATCCTTAAGTCTATATAACAAGAAAGATGAGAAAAAAATTAAATACGCTTGGAATTATGGAGCGCCCATTTATAAACGTAAAATATCTGCGCATAATTTATTGTACTATATCTAATTAGGTTAATACTACATTAGGCAACGTAATAATAACATTCTTTGAATCTAAAACTACTTTAAAAATATAACAAATTTACTAAAATAATACTATAATGTCTCCTGAAGGAGCATGACTGGGATCAAAAGAAAAGACAAAGTAAGGAGTAGCAACATCAGAAGAAAGACTAAGGCACAGGACATAATTTTGAAAATAAGAAGACAAAAGTGGAAATGGGCAGGCCACATGATCAGGGGAAAGGACAAATGAAGTAAAATAATCACACAGTGGTACCCAAGAGATGGAAAGAGAAAGAGAGGTAGACCACAAAAAAGGTGGGACGACGACATTATACAAGTCGCGGGAACAACATGGGGTAGAGTGGCCATAGAAAGGCCAGAATGGAGAAGATTGGAGGAGGCCTTTGCCACCTGGCAAACGGACACGCAAAAGTGGAACAAAAGAACAATCTACGAAGAAAAAAAAAAATTGTTATGTCCGAAAAGAGGCTATAATATAATATAATATAATATAATATAATATAATATAATATAATATAATATAATATAATATAATATAATATAATATAATATAATATAATATAATATAATATAATATAATATAATATAATATAATATAATATAATATAATATAATATAATATAATATAATATAATATAATATAATATAATATAATATAATATAATATAATATAATATAATATAATATAATATATATAATGTCTACGCATTACAACAATATTTGGCTAGAAAAGATAAGTTTTGTTGAAAGTAAAGAGTTTTTTCAACACAAATAAAACATTGCGTCATAGGCATCAAGGCATGTTCTCTTCATGTGTCAGTTAAAATGATTTATGTGGACGACGGACAATGAAAAAATGTTTTTCTAGCTAAAAGTAAGCGTAGCTATTAATCGGTATATATATTTTCTCAGGTTTAGAGCATTTCGAGGGTCACCAAAAGACTGGATTCTACGAATACGTTTCAAGAAGTTCAAAGTAGGCACTTTGATTAATGGCACTACATGTCATAAGGGATATATGCAGGTCAGTGAGTCATATACCTAATACTTATTTATTTATAATAATAATAATAATAATAAGCCTCTTATCCTGAACTGTTTCTTTGACTTTGTGGTTGACTCTTATCTTTAAGTTATAAAATATCTCTAAGTTCAGTGTGCCTCTTGGCAAAGGCCTCCTCTAACAATTTCCATTGTACTCTGTCTCTTGCAACCCTTCTCCATTTTGAGCCTGCTGTTAATTTTAATTCGTCTTCCCATCTCTTGCTTTGTCTTCCTCTGTTCCTTTTCCCATCTCTAGGGTACCAGTCAGTTATGATGTTCTACTTATTTATTTATTCACACTTAATTAAAAGCTGAGCCGGCGAACTTTGTACCGCATCACAGTCAATTATTTTATATTCAGATTAGCTGATTGATGATTTAATTAAGTAATACAAAATGAATATTAAGTTCACTACTTTATAAAGAAACAAGCTGACCCGACAAACGTTGTTTTGCCATGTATATTATTTCAAGGAAACATTGTTTTAGTTCAATACAAATAACTAAACACAAAAATAATATATAGGGTTGATTTACGACACCCATGAACATTTTGTTTTGGAATTTATTATTGTATAATTCGTTTTCGTTATTTTCTAAGTAATTAAAAAGGAGACAACAAATCGAAAACAACGAAAATTGGTCCAGTTGTTCTCGAGTTATAAGTTTTCGAACAAACCCGACTTCGTTTTACATGTTAGGATAAGAACATTTATTATATTACCACAAATCTAACTGAGAATCTACATGTTTTAAAGTGTTAGTATAAAAAATTTGTATCAAAGACGACATGTGATACGTATTTCAGTTATCAAATAGCTAATCACAATTAATTATATTGCGCGAATCGTGATTTAAAATTAATATAAAATAACGAAAATGTAATTACGCATTTCTCAAAACTCAAAAGAAATGAAGAAATAAATCGTAATCTTAATTAATCACAAAAGCCTTAAGGTAACGCAATTTCCAATTATAAGAAATCACGATCCAATGATTATCCTCTCAAATTGTTCTTCCGGAGTACTTTCCAAGTTCGAAAATTAATTAGCAGGTTCGCCCAACTCAATTACTAGCCCCGACTGCTTTAGTTAGCATAATTCTCGAACGTTTTGGCTATCTTCGAATGTTCTATGTATGGATTTTTGAATTATATAAAATTCCATTTACAATTTTTTTGTCTGTGAGATTACTGAGTACTGGAACTATGTATTGTGTATCGTTTAGTAAATTTTATAGATACGTTTTTCAAACCTAACCTATAAAATGGTATAAATATTAAAGAGGTGTGTGAGTTTATCTTTTTTTATAGAACAGGTGGCAAAAGGAAGGTTATTCTGAATGTTAAGTGTTACAGCCGCCCATGGACACTGTCAAAGCCAGAAGGCTCGCATGTGCTTTAAATAATTGCACTTTGCCTTAGAAACGTTGCATCTACGCTGTGGAACGAGGGTCATAGTCAACCTCGACGGTCATAGGTGATAGTGGTTGAATCGTTGTTATCTTTATATAAGTTATATTTATTCTTTCATAACCTTTACACATTTAAAAAACTTTTAACGGATTAAAGTTTTATTATTTCAAATATAAGATAATGCAACTTCTTTACTTTTGATCACCCTTTTTTTCAGTACCGTGACCGCCATGTAAAGCGCGGATTTAATTTTTTTTGTAATTTTGATAACTTTAATCCGGTTAAAAAGTTTTTTCTTTAAAAGTTATATTTATCTTAACTAGAAAGCTATATTATTATGTTTGACATTTGTGTTTGGGTATCCCATTTCGACATAAACATCGTGTTGCCAGTTTTATAGTTTTTTGTTGGCCTGGTGGTTTTGCACTGTCTCAGGTCCAAAAAGCTGTGATCAGTATTTTTGTTTTCATTAATAAAACCGGCTACGGTTAAGAAAACATGTGGGAAATATTATCGAAACAAATAAAAGAGTCCAAGCCACCAAGATATGGCATTTTAAATTTTTCCCGTCACAGTAAAACACATCTTATAGTACTAACTAAAATTTGTTAATTCAAAATACCTTTTTTAATAGTTTATTTAAATCAAGTTTTTTTAGTTTCACATTCCAAACAAAACAGGTAGTGCTTTAAGCATGTGAATATGACCCTGAGGTATCAAATCCCGGCTTGCATCGTGGGGTTTACTCTCTCGAGTAACGTACGGTGTACATAAGGTTGTTCAGTGAAGGCTAATATTGTAATGAAATAAGCACGTATGACACCAAAAGCACCGATATTATATATATCAGGATACATACCTGCTCTAGAATAAAAATGATCCAAAAAGTCATATAAAGTTGTAGCGCTTCTGGATTACATTAGTTTCAGTATTTACTCCAGCATAATAATTAAACCTAACAATATTATTCAAATTATGTGAAAACTGTTGTCATTTTAATTACAATCAACAATATAACAAATAATTTCCAATTAATTGCCAATTAAAAACAAATTCTGAAGCCCCATAGCTTCCATTTAGTAGACCGCAACTTTCGTAACAATTATTTTACAAGGGTTCGCACGTAATATGTATTAATAATACTATTATGTAAGTGTATACTTATGTGTTAAAATTAAAATTATGTATTACAGTTGGAATTAATAAACTATGTTCTAAACTGCTTTAAACATTTAAAAATGTCGTATAAAACGTCTCTTCCCTATTCTTTACTATTTGGAAGTTATTGTTTATATAATAACATATACACGGTGTGAACACGTTTGCAATGGAAGTTGTAAATAAAATAAGATATAATCTAATATATAAAATTCTCGGGTCGCGGTGTTTGTAGTTAAACTCCTCCGAAACGGCTTGACCGATTCTCATGAAATTTTGTGTGCTTATTGGGTATGTCTGAGAATCGGACAACATCTATTTTTCATCCCCCTAAATGTTAAGGGTAGTCCACCCCTAAATTATTATTTTGTTTAATTTTGAGATATTTTTTTTATGATACAGCATTAAAAAATACATACAACCCCTAATTTTCACCCCTCTACGATCAACCCCATTTTATTATTTAATAGTACAAATTATATACATGGAACAAAAAGATGTTTGCCTGGTCAAATAAGTCTAATACATGGAAAACTTTGCCGGGTCGCGGTGTCTGTATATAAAAGAAAAATGCTCTTCCTGAAACGGCTATCACCGATCGTATCTCATGAAACTCCTTGTGTGCATTTTTATTGGATGTTATGCTGAGAATCGGACAACATTCCTATTTCTTCATTGCCCTTCCTACAATGTTAAGCGGTACTTTCATCCTAAATTATATATTTTTTTATTTTTAGATAAAACAAAATTTATATTTTTTTATGATACAGCATACAAAAATACATAAAACCCTAAATTTTCAACCCTCTACGATCAATCCCATTTTTTATTATAGTACATAGTTATTTTTATTGAACTAAAAAAATGTTTCCAAGAATTAATAACATACATGGCAAAACGACGTCGCCGGATCACCTAGTAATTCTATATATTTCATCTTTAATCGCGTTATTCATTAGTGAAGGCCGTGTTGGTGCTGCATGTCTTTCTTCATTCCAAGCAAGCATTACAAGCATTCATTGCTAAAAGACCTCCAGTTTTAACTACTGATTATATTTAAATATTATTACATACGGAATAAGTGTCATAGTGTTCTACTTTAAAGTAATAAAAGTTGTATTATTTTTATTATTACGAGTAAATTGTATAAAGATGTGACTAAACCATCATCAAATACGGGACGAATTAAATTTCAATATCATTAATTTTGAAAGAGGAGGCGCTGCTGTGCCCGTGTACACTTCAGCTCCGTAGTATTTTTCTATTAAAAATATATAAAGTGATTATTTACTTAATATAAATGGTAAAACCAGTGCAATACGTTCAAATATACGTCGCAAATGCTATGGAGTCCTTTTTCTCTGAAATTCCTGCA